GATACATGTATATTGTACGCGTATGTGCTCCCTTTTTCGAGCTGGTGAGCTAGTAATTTTTTTTTCAGGAAATATTGCTGGACACCCTGAACATTTTACTATTACTGGTTGGTCGGTCGACCGTGGATAATACACATTTTCCCCTGAAAATACACATTTTCATATTTCCCAATACTCATTTCGGTTTTCTGTGGTTGGCATCTCTGGGGTTAGGTGAGCCGGTGTGCCTGTATTCTTTTGATTGTCTTTTGTTTTCTGAGTCATAATGGTGTACCCAAGTCTCGTCTCCTGTGACTATACAGCGTAAGAAAGCTCCACCTTCATCAGTATAACGAGCCAGGAGTTTTTCACTAACTTGACTTCGGTTCAATTTCAGCTTGGGTGACAGCATGTGGGGAACCCACCGTGCACACACTTTCCTGTAACCCAACACATCATGGATTTATAATATACTGAGCACTCCCAACAGAAATCCCTAGCATTTCACTGACATCTCTTTACTTTGATCTACTGGTTTGCTTGGATGATCTCTTCCACTCTCTCCTGGTGTTGAACGTCACTGGCAGAGCTGGGACGACCACAACGAGCTTGGTCGTGCAAATCTGTCTCTGCTGGACTGGTTTCAGCTAACTCCTTTGCCCATCTTCGAAAAGTACTTACGTCTCCACATACTTCACCGTAGACAAGCTTCATTCGCCTTCTATTATGAATATCAATGGGTGCAGCTCCCTCTGCAGTAAGGAACTCAATAGGCCCAACAGCTTTTTGCTTTAAGCGCACATTCATAGGTTTGCTGGACGCCATTTTCTCGGTGACAATGTACCCTATCTTCTATGATTTAAACAGCAATAGCATAAAGGTGTGACATCATAGCATAATTTTGTTTTTTGAGTTTGAGAGTACATATATTGAAAGTCAATTGTGTACAAATTTTCATGAAGATATCTTGAATAGTTTAGAAGTTATTGGAGAGGAGGCAAAACTTTTTGAACGACCCTGGTATGACCTAATTGCAAGTGCTGTAAAACTCTTACTAAACAAAATAGATTGTGGGTGGTTGGAGGGTGCTACTGGTAGGTCCTACTTCTTTACTTTCCCCTTTGTTGTTTCTGCCTGTCTTTCTTACTTTTTCCATGCACTAAATGTCCATTATTGTGTCGATGTGCAAACAGACTCCAGTCTCTCGTCATTTTGTCCATAAGTTTCATTAATTTATGCTTGAATTTATGTTCTTTATATGGTAGTATTGCTGTGACATGTTTTATCTGCCACGTCTTGCCTGTGTGTGTGATGGGATATAATATTTATCATTTTGTGGATAAATGTGTGGATGTGCTGGGTTTTCCTCTTTGGCATACCATTTACCCAGTTGATAGGTAATTATACAAGAATTAAACCGAGCTATGGTGTGGATGAATCATGATTCTAATGATCAGTGAGAGGTTCTTGAATTTATGTTGTTTCGGGCAATTTTTTGGGCTCTCCACCTGCATAGCTTGGCTCTATATATTAGGCTACTTCCTTTTCCGATCCAGCAGCCATCAGAGTTTTAGCCCTTTGGCCTGATTTGGCTATTATATAAAATGAATGTTACAATCAGGGTCCTGTCTTTTGAGTTTTTTCCACCTTTTCCTGGAGTTTTTTCTACAGTCACCTAAACCTGGTGCACTATGTCTCATTATAAACCCAGAAGCTTGCCTCCAACTTCTAAATGGCGGCAACAAAGTCTTAGTCATTACTAAAAAAAACTTGAATCAGGAATAATTCTGAAAAATGGGCAAAAAACTAAATGAAACAAAACAGTTGTCACTAGTACCGGACGTTCCCAGCGTCCGATGGGGAACAGGGTTAATACCGCCGAATGCTCCCAGCATCCGATGGGGTTGAAGAGTTCAATAACCTACAAGGTTAAAATTAAAAGGAGCATTAAACCCATACGATTCCATTTTCCTCTTCCTCAGGATGACACTGACATTGTGGATGACACTGAGGAAGCAGCTGGGGACGGTGATGCTGGCAAAGAGGAGGATGACAAAGCAGCATCAAGTCAAGAAGACAATGCACCGAAAGAAGACTCCGAATTAAGGAAAAGACTTCCACACACAGAAGAAAAATGACTAATGCTGACATTTTATTTATTCTGTAAATGTTCTTTTCCAATTTTATGAATTCATTATTCTAATATATTCTCCATATTTCACTTTTTGCTTCTGATCATCATTGTAGTTACCATTTAGTGTGATTGAGTTGCTTTAACCTTATGTGGAGAGAAAAAAATACAGTTTGATATACCTACTTTAAATCTGCTTGGCTTCTTCATTTCGTTTTGTCCATGTGGTAGCTAGTAGGCCCTACTGAGTGAGGGCTTTTTACAATTCTACACAGAGTGAACTGTAGCTTTTTCTTTCCTCATCCTTCTGATTGTCATTTTTCCTCTACTTCTTTTGTATGTTTTTCACTGTCTTGTGAACTGCTATTTCCGTGGTGCCTTGATAGTCGAAGCAGACTTTGTGCTTTTGAAGCTTGAGAGGTGAGCAGAGTATGCCTGATTCCCCGTTTGGACTTCTCTGTTGACATCCACTCCTTGGCGCTCATATGACCTTGTGCAGTTGCGAGTGCTGTAAACCCTTACTAAAACTAACTGAGTGAGGGCTTTTACATCCATGGCATATTTCTCCTGGAGAAGTAGAGGGCTCCTGAAGTCAGGTGAAGATGTCTCAAATACATACAGTCTAGCACACTCATAGTCAAACATACAAATAGTAGGTAGCGTAAACACGGCCTTCCGACCGCGTGGTATCGGTAAAATCGGGGTAATTCCGATCGCTGTTTCTTTGCTCTTTCGCTATAAAACACCAAATGCCGTACACCTTGTAAAAGTTCAGCTTTTCCTCGTTACAATGGTGTAAGTTGTTTATATGTCCAATTAGTAGGAGCTGGAGAATCGCCGACGAAAGCGAAGCCCCTCGCGGTCGGAATGCGTGGTCGGCCGGTTGAAAAATTGATACGGGTGCATTCAAATGCTTCGCGGAACGAGGGATGATTAAATACCGTCTTTTCATTGGCGGAGAACTGTAGAGCTTTAAACGGGCTTTCCCGTGATATAAGTTTAGCCTTTGGCGTCTTTATAGAAAGGTTTTAAAAATACAGTCAAAATGTTTAAAGATCACTTTTTACACAAAATATGTAAAATACCGGCTTATAAAAAGTATTAATTAAAAGATCAGTTCATATCCTATTAGAATAAAGTAATTAAATTGGAATTATTTTACATCAATCCTTCCGCGAGACTCAGAAAGCATGTGACCCCGCATCCGTGGTACACTACAGTATAGAGCAGACTCGCTCGCCGCGGGGCCCGGTGCAACGCCGGCCGGGTCAACGCTCCGTGTTTTTGTCGAAATAACGACAGATCATCGTGTTTGAGGCAATAAAATACTGATTTGTAAAGATCTCAGTCTTGAAAAAAATTATGCTCCATATATATATTTGTTATAGTGATTGTACTCTGTTAATGTGGAGATGTTTAGTGGACTTGTTACTTTTTTATTGTCTGTCAAACATGGGGTTGCAGCCAGTGACTGACTTTAACAAATTTGATCAAATTTTAAACAACTACAATTTTCTTAAAAATTAACGGAGAGGTTAAAGAATGGTACCAAAATGCTCAGTGGATATAGGCCTTTCAAATGGAACAGATAAATTTGGCACACAGCTAGTTTGAAAATTTAGTTTCTGGTACCTACAAATAGCAAACGTTCACATAAACAGATTTTCAGGCTCCTAATATTTTCAATCACTTATACTCTTTGTATTTGAAAATACGTAGCAAAATGTGCACCTACATTAATGAAAAGATTTCCACCGCTTGCTGGTTTTGTTGTGTGCAGGAGGTTTCCTGACACACCAGTTCAGGGACTTGTCTATTGATAGTAAAGTTGATACTTGCATTTCGAATGTTCGAATGTGCTTGACCTAGTGTACAGATACGGAGTCTCAGGGGGTTTGTATCTTACAGTAGGGGCAGGAAACAGGGCAGCGATTGGGTTGAGTGCAATGGCATATAGTGGTTTGGGGGGGGTATATTCTTTTATTTACTCTGCAAGATAAAAGAGTCCAATGGATAAAGGAGCTAATAGCTTCCTATGTGAGGTGTGACATTAATGGGAAGGAATTTCAGTGTGTGTGTGATCGAATTTTAAAGAAAAACTGATGAATTAACATACATCATACATGGCTACATTCCCCAGTCGACATCTTTCGTGTTTTCCAGGGGATTCTCATAACAAATTAGATTTTCCTAATTTTTCACTTTCTACAATATATCTCAACACATTCTTTTCTTATGCTGAACTTACTACATGTATAGGAAGCGGTTGAATCTGAAAAGTAAAATGGAATAACTGCAAGAAAAAAATTATTCTCTCAATTTTACTAACAGAATAGGTAGATCTAGACTAGACGTCTAGTAGTTAATAGATTTCTGAAAAAAAGTTTTCCTTTAGGAGGAGTAATACAGGACTAAACTCTACTAAGTGATTTGAAAAGTCCAGGACAATATACTACATGTACACAGGGTTGGTGATTTTTTTGATTTTTTAAATAAAAATTTAAAAAATCGATTTTTTAAATTTAAATCAGATTTTTTAAAATTTAAATCGGATTTTTTTGATTTTTTTGATTTTTTTAAAAATGTCGACAGTTTGGGATTTTTGGTGGCTAAAAGTATGTTCTTTTAGTGCAAAATGCATTGTCTTTATTTTAACTAATGATTAATTTAAGCAACT